CTCCTCAGGAGAATGGTCCCTGAACACACAAACGGTCCAAATACTGTGGCGGCTATTCGGCAGAGCAGAGGTGGACCTCTTCGCGTCAGAAGAGAACGCTCACTGCCCAATATTTTTCTCAAGGAGCGAGGACGCGCTAGCCCAGGAATGGCCTCGCCGCCCGCTCTATGCATTCCCTCCGATCGCTCTGCTACCACAGGTAATTCAGAGGATCAGGGACACACGCCACTCTGTGCTCCTCATAGCCCCGCGTTGGGTGAGTTGGGTGAGTGGGTTCCGGAGCTCACTCAGCTGTCGCAGACAGCCCCGTGGCCCATCCCAGTCAGAGCAGATCTCCTCTCTCAGGTTCGCGGCACGATCTGGCACCCCCATCCACGGCGCTGGGCGCTACATGCATGGGTGATCAACGACTATTCGTTGATTTGCCAGAAGGAGTAAGAAACACTATCATACAGGCTAGAGCACCTTCCACGAGAAGGCTCTATGCGTCTAAATGGTCTGTGTTCTCAAAATGGTGCACCGACAAACATCTGGACCCACGGTCATGCGAGGTGCCGTCTTTGCTTGTTTTCCTTCAAGAGATGCTGGACAAGGGCAGGTCCCCCTCCACTCTCAAGGTTTACGTGGCAGCCGTCGCGGCGTTCTCTGAACCCCGACGCGCTCAGTCCCTGGGCAAAGACGAGTTAGTCATCCGCTTCCTCAGGGGAGCTAAGAGGATGAACCCTCCGCGCCCCCCTTCGGTTCCTATCTGGGATCTTTCTATAGTTCTCGAAGCTATGAAAGCACCCCCGTTCGAACCGCTCGAGTCTGTGGACCTAAAATACCTCTCGCTCAAAACCGTTTTTCTGACGGCTCTGTCCTCAGTAAAACGCGTGGGGGATCTTCACGCGCTCTCATCCAGCGCCGCGTGTCTCGAGTTTGGTCCGAATGATTCTGTTGTCATTCTCAAACCTAGACATGGCTATGTCCCGAAGGCGATTGGTACCCCGTTCAGGGCTCAGATTATTTCCCTATCGGCTCTGCCTTTATCCGATAGTGAGCGCGACGCCAATCTCCTCTGCCCGGTGCGGGCTCTGAGATTGTACACTACGCGCGCTGCCGCGTTCAGACGCGCTGAGCAGCTTTTCGTGTCGTTTGGGGGGCGCACCAAAGGTCTGGCCGCCTCTAAACAGACACTGTCTAGATGGATAGTAGACGCTATCGCCTCTGCTTACGCATCTAAATGCCTGCCCTGCCCTCTGGGCATCAGGGCGCACTCCACTAGAGGCATGGCCTCATCGTGGGCATGGTCCTGTGGAATTTCCATTCATGACATTTGTGTGGCCGCGGGATGGGCCTCCCCGTCCACTTTTGTCAGATTTTACAACTTGGAAGTTCCCGCCTTGCAGGCAAAATTACTAGCTGTCTAACGACCAGCTCCCTAAGAAGCTGCATTACTGGGAGTCCCTCACACAACCGGTTCGCCCCTTGTGCTCTCCTTAAATGCTTATACACTTCATGTGCCCGCTCTGCCGGCCTCATACATGCTTATGTATACACTTCATGTGCCCGCTCTGCCGGCCTCATAATACATTCACTCCACGTTAAAAATCCCCCGGTATCACCCTGGGATTCATGAGTGGATTCATAGCGCGCACGGCGTTGACCAGGTGTTCCCGCAGCGTAAGCTAGCTTACGCAATACGAGAGAACCTCTCGTAAGAGAACGAATCGGTTACCTAACGTAACCTCGGTTCTCTCTAGAAGAGGGAACGAGTATTGCGTTCCCGGCCGTGCTTGCGCTACTAGCGTTTCGCTTCACGCTGAAATAAATCAACATATAAGCCTGGGAGAGACTGTTATATACACCATGGCCACGCCCATTCTGGCGGGCCATGACGCAATGAGCGCGCGGGCGCCTCTTATTGGAAGCGGGTTCAGCCCCGCTCTCCCATAGGCTTAAGCAGTTCTCTCTGAGCGAACCAATGAGCTGCTAGCTAGCCTGCTCTAGGTCTGCCGCAGAGGAACTGCGTTGTGTATGGATACAAATTATGAAATAATTTTTGGCTTCAATATCTCAGCAAAGATGAATCTTTCCCCGCAGCGTAAGCTAGCTTACGCAATACTCGTTCCCTCTTCTAGAGAGAACCGAGGTTACGTTAGGTAACCGATTCGTTTCAGTGCGTTTTCGTGTGGACGAACGGCCGAACCGCGTAAAAAAAGTCACGGTTATAAAAATACCCGTGTCCGTGTGGACAGGGCCTAACAGTCCTGTCAAATACGTTATTAGATAGAACTGTTATACATAGAAAGTAGACAGTATATGAAAAGGTATTAGCGTATGCTGTGTGGTTGATGTCCAGTGTTGCTAGCTGAGCAGAAATATATAATGTTTGGCTTGGTCCCCTCAAAGTTGCGTTGGATTTTCTCCTTAGCGTAAAGGTTAAGAGGTCCATCTATCACTGTTTTCTATGTTCATAGTTAGTTTGTGGAATAAATATATAGGCCTAGGCTATAATCTGTGTGTTTACACAGCTTTTTAAAAAATGGCGGCTTCTGGTGTTTCGCATACGGTAAGCTAATCAGCGTACACTTATGTCACTGGTAGTTCCTACTCTGAAGTAGGAGCTAAATTAGTTCCTCCAAAAGGAGTTCCTAGAACTAAAATCATTCCTAGTTCCTGCGGTGCGAACACGCCAAACACCGGGTACTTCCGCCAATAGGTCACCAGGATGATATATATATATATATATAGATATAGCGCCGCTCTGGAGAAAACCGTGATGTCATTGTCCAGTTCTGTTCTCATATAATGGTGTCAATGCAGGCAGATCAATAATAATGTTGAATATTAAATTAAATGTCCCCAACTAAGCATGCTGAACGCGAAAAAGGCGACGTGTGTGTATATATATTAGTGACAACGATTAATCACATCCAAAATAAAAGTTTGTGTTTACATAATATGCTAAAAACCCTATGCTAAAACCCAAAGATGCTCGAGTCTATTGGGTTGAGATCTGGTGACTGTGGGGGCCATTTTAGTACAGTGAACTCATTGTCATGTTCAAGAAACCAATTTGAAATGATTCGAGCTTTGTGACATGGTGCATTATCCTGCTGGAAGTAGCCATCAGAGGATGGGTACATGGTGGCCATAAAGGGATGAACATGGTCAGAAACAATGCTCAGGTAGGCTGTGGCATTTAAACGATGCCCAATTGGCACTAAGGGGCCTAAAGTGTGCCAAGAAAACATCCCCCACACCATTACACCACCACCACCAGCCTGCACAGTGGTAACAAGGCATGATGGATCCATGTTCTCATTCTGTTTACGCCAAATTCTGACTCTACCATCTGAATGTCTCAACAGAAATCGAGACTCATCAGACCAGGCAACATTTTTCCAGTCTTCAACTGTCCAATTTTGGTGAGCTCTTGCAAATTGTAGCCTCTTTGGGGTCTCCTGGGGTCTTCTGCTGTTGTAGCCCATCCGCCTCAAGGTTGTGCGTGTTGTGGCTTCACAAATGCTTTGCTGCAAACCTCGGTTGTAACGAGTGGTTATTTCAGTCAAAGTTGCTCTTCTATCAGCTTGAATCAGTCGGCCCATTCTCCTCTGACCTCTAGCATCAACAAGGCATTTTCGCCCACATGACTGCCGCATACTGGATGTTTTTCCCTTTTCACACCATTCTTTGTAAACCCTAGAAATGATTGTGTGTGAAAATCCCAGTAAAATCCCGTCTGGCACCAACAACCATGCCACGCTCAAAATTGCTTAAATCACCTTTCTTTCCCATTCTGACATTCAGTTTGGAGTTCAGGAGATTTTCTTGACCAGGACCACACCCCTAAATGTATTGAAGCAACTGCCATGTGATTGGTTGATTAGATAATTGCATTAATGAGAAATTGAACAGGTGTTGCGGGTGTTTTCATATGAATGTATCAGAACTGAAGTGAACTGAACTGTTGGATAGGAAGTCTCGTGAGAAGCGAGAACGAGTGAGAAACACTAACTGCTTTATGGCAATTCGACAAAATTCTATGATACTGTGTATGATGTATTACCCACCTCGGTAGACATAGCTCCACACGATAAAGTTGGCCGGCTCCGATAATAACAAATGCACATGAGCAGCGGTAGAAAGCGAGAGGAAGGTGGCGCAAGTGAGTTTTTTTACGACAGTGTTGTGAAATATACGCCCCACAGCTGTAGGGGGAGCTCTATTAGAAAACATGCGACAACAAAAGTGAAAATCAGCGAAGAAATGGCTAGAGTTCCCAAGTTCCCCTTTAATACTAGTGTGGATTTTTTCTACAATATTCACTCATGACAGTAAAATAGGGCATTCTAAGTCAATCTACTGCAGTATTTCCTCTCTCACTCAGTAGAAAATGTGGTTAACACCCAGTCATTAGTCTGACTTCGTCATACTCATATTCTAGTCAGAATGTGAGTCTGATACTGCTCCATAGCGCTTTGATTATGAGGCGTGTCTTAACCGAACCAGGAAAAAAAAAACTCTGCACTCAATTGGATAGACCTACAACCAATCAGAGCAACGCATTAAGTGTTTTTTTTAGGGATGCACCGATGTGAAAATTTTGGCCGATACCGATAACCGATATTAATATTGCTGTTATGGCCGATACCGATATTTACCGATGTCGATATCTCTATATAGAAAACACATTTTTATGATAATCAAATAAAGAGCTTTTTTCCAAAACACATTTTTATTTTTTATTTTCAGAAATGACTGATATTGGGCACCTTTACCTGTGTGCAAAATATGTCATCAGATTTTCAAAAGAAAAAATAAATATTTATATAAACATTTTTTTTAATAAAGGATACAAGTCCTGAATTCACACTATGAATAAGCCAACCCTGAGTATTCTCAAATCTCAAACATCTAACTCACTTGAGACAAAGTTACTGTATTCTGTGAACATTGTACAACAGTTCAAAACTTTAAAGTACAGTAGTAGGCCTTAAATGGCCAAAGCCAAAAGTATTGAAAGGTAAAATGTGAAAATGGAGCCAGAACAAACTGGACTGAACAGACACTGGCTTTTGCAGTCTTCTGAACTGTAAGTACAGTAACTAAGTACTGTAACTACCAAGTACTTTAGGGTTAGGCCTAACCCTTGGCCTTCCCGGGCTTTGGAAGCAGACAAATGTTGTGCTTAACAAACAGGAGCATTTCTGCTCTCTCTGTACCGATCCTATTTCTCTTTTCACTGACAACATTTGAAGCGCCGGAGAAGAGACGTTCACTTTCCACGCTTGTACAGGGAGCTGAAAGGTACTTGCGTGCCATTGGGGCGAGGGCAGGGAAGCGGGTCATGTTGCTTTGCCAGTACTGCAGCGGGCTCACATTTCTGGGGATGGTGGGCTCACTCAGGTAACCATGCACCTACAAGAAATATAGACAAGTGTAAATATATATCTCTGGCAAATCATCAGGAAATTATTATTCAACATTTGTATTCATGACACCAAATGAAATAAAATAACTGTTCATTCAGTTTTTCATGAGATTTTACTGTCAATAATAAATGATCTGATCACACAAAGAAATGTGAAAAACTTAATTTGAATGAGAGACTATTAAAAGATTATCTGATTCAAATAGTATAGTAACCTAGCCTACCTGCACACTCGTTGAACCTGTTGCCTGTTCATCCTGCTCCTTTTCCTCCAGAATTTCATCGAACATGTCCAGGAACGAATGCCCTTCACTTGGTGTACACATCCTCTTTTCTTGTGGTTCACCTTCTTCTGGCTCAGTGTCTTCTGTGTCTGGTGTAGGCCCAAATGTGGCACTGGCGCTGGTTGTCGCTGACACTGTCATCTTGTCCACTTCTTTCTCTAGCTTGTTTTTTGCCACTTGCTTGAGATCTGCATCAAAGTAGCGATCTTTGTATCTGGGGTCCAGGATTGTTGCCAAGTAGTAGAGTTGCTCGGAGAAAGTGGTTTCAAATCTCTTGTTCATGGCTTCAAGCAGTGCAGACTTGGTCGTTTTGACCCCACTGTCGGTTTCGGCTGTCTTGTTCAGAAAACGCTTGAGTGCCACAACAGACGGGATCACGTCAGCAGCTGTAGCTGTATGCGAGCTAATCTCTCTCGTCAACTCTTCAAAGGGTGCCAGGAGTGTGGTCATTTTCTCAATGAGACTCCACTGGTTTGCGTTGAGAGATACAGGCAGTCCGTGGTAAGCCTCGTACATAACCAGTGCGCGCTTTTGTTCCAGGAGAGTTGTCATCATCAGGAATGTACTGTTCCAGCGCGTTGGGACGTCCTGTTGTAGCATCTTGGTCTTCATTCCCATCTCTCTCTGGATGTCTCTCAGCCGAGAGGTACCAAGGGGGGAGCTTTTAAAATGTCCGACTATTTTTCTCGCTATAGCCAAAGAGTCAACAACGCTTCGCTGGCTTAGTACTGCATCGTGCACTGCTAACTGCCCCAGATGAGCCATACAGCCCAGGCTTTTAACACCACACTCCTCCATCGCCTTCACCATATTTCATGCGTTGTCTCGAAGGACAACGTGCACATTTTCTTTCCGGATTCTCCATTCTGTAAACATGCCCTCAAACGCACTGGCTATGGCGGTACCTGGAATAAAAGGATTTAAAAAAAAAAGTTTAATCAAAGACATGTTAGCTAGCTGGCACATGATACAATGCGTCTTTTTTCCCAACCAACTTCTGCCATTCCCGCATTCTGATCAGTCACGGCAGAAGTGGGTTGGGTGTATATATTGGCTATCTATAAAGTCTATATCGATTAGCATTACATTATAAACACAATAATCTATTATTATGAAAATACCTGTTATGGCTCAAAGAACACAGGTAAGTCAAATATCATTGCAATCATGTTTACTGTCTTCAAAAGATCTTTATCTGCATTTGGGTATAAATTCAATAAATATTATTCCGGTCTATAGAAATCTAATGTAAACCTATGAGAATCTATAAATGTTTCTCCATATTATATTTCTTTTTTAGCTAAAAGCCCTGAGGGACGTTGTTTTGTCAAGCGCTGTCATGACGACAGCACAGGAGTTTTTTTTTTCTGAATGAGAGCGGCTGACGCTCACAATTCATATTAAAGTTATCGACACATTTTTTCATTACATCCTGACACAAAAAAAAACATAACTGTCGCGATAAGTTTCTCAGAATACAATAGTGGTCAAATACTAAAACTTGAGTCTTATATCGTTTCGTTTTATGATGTAAAGTTCTAGTTTGTCAAGGTAATAACATTAACGTTAAATCTGATAGTATCTTTGAACTATTTAAACAAACAAAAACGCTTCAGTGCGCCCGCACTGGCAACGGTTAACAGGTTAATTTAATTAGCATCTGTCCAAAAAAATAGCTAGGCCTACCTGTATGCGAGCCAGGGAATTCTTGGGCATGTAACACGGCTCTCTTCATCTCGAAGTTGTTATTAATCCACTGAGCTGTGAGGCTCAACATGCTTGTTTGGTTAAGGTCGGAACTCCAGATATCTGTTGTAAAACTGATGTCATTAGCATCGCTGTCGAGTAACTTGTGGACGTGGGTGGCTACGATATCATGTAAGGCAGGCAGGGCGACATCCGCAAAGTAACGACGACTTGGCTTGTCATAGTGGGGCTCAGCGACCTCAAGCATCTCTCTGAAGCCTTCGTCTTCCACTACTGAAAACGGTTGGTCATCAACAGCGATCATCTTTGTTATTGCCATGGTCAATGCCTTTTGCTTCGGGTGGTCCTTGTGGAATTTCTTGTTCTTTTCCAACAAGCGTTCTATGGGGCTACCGACTGGTGCAGCTGCTGTAGTGTTATAAGCATTTTTCTTCTGCTGCTTGTTAGCATTAGCTAGTTTTTCATATTCTGTGTATGCTTCGGGATGCTTGTTTTTTAAGTGGGTGATCAAATTGGTCGTGTTGAACGATTTGACACGAACTCCCCCTCGCATCACCCGGCCCTCACAATTATTGCATACAGCATATCGAGGATCCTCTTCAGACACTTTGAAGAACGACCAGACAGACGACATCGTTGCTCCCTCACCAAAGGCAAAGTTCAACGGACTTTTTTTGCCGCCTCCAGCACATTATGTGACGTGCGCTCGTGCAAAAACAAACATCCCCGCCCCCGCACTCACATCTACACGCACGTCAAATACACAGGAATGATTATCGGCCTGTTCACATCGGCCCTATTTTGACATCGGAACGATACCGATGTGTAAAAAATTGACCATATCGGCCGATATTATATCGGCGGCCGATATATCGTGCATCACTAGTTTTTTTTATGAGCTACGCAAATTGTTCACAGAACTCAACTACACGCACGCTGGAAGTAGTAAAATAATGAGTGTTCTTTTACTTGGTCCTCCATGAGTGCGACCAAAGGAGAAACCACAACGACCGCAGGGTTTTCATTGCGTCCCATCTTCTTAGCGACCATCGGATCCAGCTGATAAAATAAACGTTTGCCGAATCCCGTAGGAAGGATGGCAAACACATCTTTCCGATCGACAAATGCCTTGATTGCAGTTCTCTGTTCGTCTTTTAAAATGAATGCGCTGTCGATTTCTTTTACAACAGACGCGATAGCGGAATCTATACATCTCTATTCTCCAGCTGCAGTCATCTCTGAGGGAAACCAGTTCAACCCAAGCGCTCTTTGGTGATGTGATGATGACGTAACTGCAGATCATCTGTCCATCATCGTATAAAGCCCGCCCTGGCAATTTGATTGGCCCGACTAATTCTGAACCGATCATAATTACTCCTCAATGGATCGAGTCCAGACCGAATTTCCCGACCAAAAAATGTTGTGGGCGGGGTTCGGGCTGGCATCCAGGCTACCCAGTCATGCTTAAATAATAATAATACTGTCATATACCGTGAAACCGGTATAGTTTTGAAAAATACTGTGATACGGATGTTTGGTAATTCCGCCCAGCACAATTTTTTGTGCTATTGTTTGCAATTTTTTAATTTGTTCTTATTTTATTACTGACTGTTTACTGGTCTTTTTTTGTAAACCGGGTAGTTCAGTGATTTAAATAAAGCCACCTATGCTGTGTGTAAGCTATTACAACACAATTACCCCAAATATATATATATATATAAAAAAGATAAATTATCTGTATGGTGGTATACATTGCAGTTTCCCCTGTGATATTGAAAATGCTATTGGATATCTAGCCTATATTTTTCAATGTATCGTATCGAAGTTGTAAATCCCAGTATCGTGACCACACTAGTTGGTACATCTCTGTTATAACAGCTTACAAAAATGCGGTATAGATGCATGCCCTAGTCATTCTCTATCTCATAAAATACTAATGCTCATTTAGTTTAGGCCATTCATCCACACTGACTTACAGTATGCTAATTATAGGGCTGATTCCCATGGAGCATCCTGGCCTGAGGTTAAATGTATTGCAATGGCACAGTAGAACAGGCTAGATTTTGATCACCGTAAGGCTTTAGTTCCTGGGTCACCATTGCTTGGGGATTAGGCTAGACTTGCGCTTTAACCTTCAAGCCACCACCATCCGAAGTCGTCCGTAAGACAAACTTTCAGAGAATAATGGGTTGGAAGTCCATTAATCTGAACTTTTGCCCTCTTTAGAGTTTGCTTTCAGCTGATATATCAATACGTTCATATGAACATGTCTCAACAATTTCAAGAGCTGAGCACATCTAAGAGCCCAGAACTGAAATAAAAAAAAAGCTCCTGCTGTTATAAACACTGCATAAAAACTTCTAAGGGATCGAACAGAAAAGAATCATTGCATGTTAACAATGTTTTCTTTCTACTCTGAGTTTGTGTGCTATAGATTTATTAGAATGTGGTTGAAGTGTTGACGGTCTCATTCAAGTCCCATACTTTGAGGAATTATGATGGAGGACTGTGTTTGAACTCAAAGCCGTGCTGTTGTGTGGCAGTGAGTCATAGTCTCTCTGGTCTTAATGAAAGAAGTGAGATTGTCAATCATTTCAGAGCTTTATGACATCTCCATCTGTTCCTTGAGATTATCTGTATTAATTCATAATATTAGTCAAATTTCTTGATTCTCTAAAGTCAAGCGCATAACATTTGGCATGATACTAAAATTTCAGTTGTCAGTTTCACTTTTTGTTTAGTCTTTTTGTATTTTCTTGGAAATGTTAGTGCATTACAAGTAACTTGGGTTACGTAATCTGATTACTTTTTTTAAGTAGCTTGTAAAGTAACATTACTTTTAAATTTGATACAAAATATCGGAGTTACTTTTTCAAAGTCATGAAATATACTTTGTTTTTTTCAGTTTATTGACTGGCAGCTCTCCTGTGCGCCGTTTGAACATGATGGGTATTATAACTGATTTTTATCAGTTGTTGCAGCACTAGAAATAATCTTCAAGGTTTTTTTATCTTGTCTTTTTGCAATTGACAGACTTTTCTTTAATATCATTAGATGAAATTAAAAAAAATTAAAAAGAGATGGAAAAAGACACCTTATGATAATAATGAAACTTTTGATAAAAATGTAAATGATGATCAATTTTTATTTATCAGTGATTTCGTTGACATTTCCATGGCAGTGAGATTCTACGATTCTCAATACTACTGAAGTGCACAGAGAGAGCGAGAGAGAAATAGGCCTGATTATATTACTATAATATTCACAGTGTGAGTGGAAAGTGGGTCAAGAAACGCAATTATTTTAAACCCATTTAAATTTTTTTCTTAACATTTATACATTCATGTCTTTCTCTGTCGTGCAATACTTGTTTACAAAGATTTACAAAGAGTACCGTGAATAATAGTATCAATATTTGTATTTATTTATTTAAATTTTAATTTTGTTTGACCAAAGTACTGGTACTTTTGACATCCCTGCTAATTTGACTTAGGTTTGTGCAGCTCATATTTTCTTATTTCCGTGGCTGGTGGAGCGTAAAGCCGCCGAGCCGTCCATTAAAGTGATGGAGGGATGGATGGATGGCTCGCACACGGCCCTGTGTGTCTTTCCTTTGCTCTCTGTGGTGCTGTCTAATGGGCTGTCAGGTGTCAGGGGCAGCCGCTGCAGACTCTGGCCCAGGGGAGGAGACACGAGTGTAATTTTAGATGACAGGCAAACGCTGAAGTTCTGGGTTAGACCTCCAAGCGCCAAGAGGGTAAATTTATCTGCGGTGGTGCTTTGGACCTCAATGAAATTGAATGAACTTCAATTAGAAGTACACAACGCAAGTGTAATGGAGTCTAACAGAAAGCTTGTAAACCCCTGAGCTGGGTGTGAGCAGGGCACTGTGGTGGCATGTTCAGATAATTGCTAATTCTGCAGTGTTGGAAATACTATGCGCAGATGACTTCTCTGCAGACACAGCAAGTTGGTTATCAAAGACACGACACCTAAGCTGTTTTCAGTGGGAGTAAAGTCTGTGTTTGACTGCTGGCCGGAAGACCAAAACATAAATGCAGGATATCAGTTTTATGATAG